GACTGTTTATCTGTAATCTGACCTGCTTAAGGGGTTTTTGTTTGATTTTTTTTCCAGCAGGTGTATTTTATATAAATGATAAAACCAGTTTACCTTGAGGGATGTTAAAGTCTCCCAGTAAAGCACAGGAAACACTTCAGATACATCTAAAAGTCTAAACATGTCAGACGTTGGGCTAGGTTTGTTTGTGGGTAGTTTTATTACCTGCTAGAGCTGCTCTCTGGAAGACCAGTCAGCAAACACAGATACCGCAGAGAAAAGGTCCTACGCTCTCGAGATGGAACTTATACTGAAGTCTGAAAGGTTATAGCCTTATTAATAAAGCATTTTAAACGATGCACCTGAGCTGTAACTATGGTAACACAAGATTCCACATTCTGTCATAGGTGACAGACAGCGCTCCATAGGGAGCCGAAGTCATGCCCATCTACTTCCAGACCACGGGTTCCCGGAAGACCAAAAAAATGAATGCAAGTCAACGGGGCTAAAAATGCTATTTTCTAATTCCGCTTGTTGTGTGCCATGGATTTCACATATGATGTCCATGAAGATGCATTTTAATACCAAGAACGTGTTTATTTTCTAAAGGGAGGAAACGTTATTTTAAGTTTTGTTTAATAAGTCCAGGACTACAAATGCGCTTTCTGAAAGTGACATCAACGAAGCAGGCACGGAGAAAAACAGGGCAAATGGCAGAGATTCTGCAGCTTGACTACTGAATGGATTTAGATGAACTTTACATGTGTGATTATATGCTTTATGTTGGGTTTATTCAGGTTGTAGAAGCAAAGTGTTCCCTTTAAAAAGTCCCGACGAGACTAGAGCCCTGCACTGAAGCCCTAGGCCCTCGGGTCGGCCCGGCCCGACGGCCCGAGGGCCGGGCTTTGGGCCAACGACTGTGTAATTACCTCGGACACGGGCCGGGCCGGGCGCCTTTATTTTTAATCAAATTCATTAAAAAAACTGAAACACTTAAACGCAGCAGTAGAGCCCTGTGCGGGACTGTTTTCTTCATCCCGCTCCTGCCCGCTCCCGCTGAATTTCTGACCATTACCGCCCGCAACTGCAACGTGTGTGTTACACTCCCGCCCGCAACAGCAAAACTCGGAGAAATTATTACCTCACAATAAAAGAGATGTATTGAGTTTGCGTCCTCTCTGGTCCTGGAGAAAACATGTCACAACCCGCGGCTCTTCCATCCATCTGATGCGGCTCTCTGTGCTTGTAAAATAATGAATGGATATTTAAATAAAATGCTTTATATTTTACTGAATTAATTTTTTATCTGTAAGTCAATTATATATAAAGACTGTCTGCGTAAACCTGAACAGGTCCAACCCAGTCTTACTGTGAGATCGGGTTGACGGGTCACGCTTGTGCGTAATCATATGCGTGTTCTGAGCTGACGAGGACGTGATTCTGGGCTTCTCCTCAGATGGCTCCTGGATGCATCGCCACGTTGGAGACAGGAACAAGCGCTATTCAGCCAAAGTTTCATAATCAGGGAACATTTTCTAAGTGACAAGTCTCTCTGAGAGACCGGGTTTGGAAAACACTCGCTTCAGTGGGAGGAATCTTCCCGCATGCGCTCTGGTTCTGTGACGTGCTCCAAGCCAATCTCCACAACTTCAGCTCGCTGTGCACACATGCGCTGACAGCGAGCTGCGCTGAGCAGCTCAGATGTTCAGATGGGAATCTTTTCTTGGGTGATTTAGCTACATCTGCGATGTGCGTAACGAATAAAATGTCAGTTCGTCTGCATGCGTCTGGGTAATTCTTTCTTTTCTTTCTCCGTCAAAATAAACGGTCAAATACGGGAACTGTCCGGTCAACACAAGCCCTGCTTTTGACTGTTTTGTTTTCTTGTGAAAATTGTTAGAAAGAGATATAATTTAACTTGATTACCACCAGAGCCAGGTGCCGTTATCTCTGTGATGGTAAACGAGGGAAAAACAGATTGATCGGATCCTGCACGTCTTTTAACACATCGGTCAGCATTGACACACTTTGTTTTCATTTAGTTGGTTAAAAAAAAGTCGGGCTCGGGTCGGGCTGGGGCTCCATCCCCACGGGCCGGGCTGGACACGAGCTCAGATTTTAGGCCCGTGCAGGGCTCTAGTTCAGACCTCAGACCCAGGTCGGAGGCAGTCTCTAGGGGCCCTGAGGTTGTCCTGTAGGATGTAAACTCTATTTATCTAAACAGAGGCTGTTCAGGAAAGTATCTATAACTAGTAAGACAGTGTGTGTGTGTGTGCGTGCGTGCGTGCGTGCGCGTGTGTGTGTGTGTGTGTGTGTGTGTGTGTGTGTGTGCGTGCGTGCGTGCGTGCGTGCGTGTGTGTGTGCGTGTGTGTGTGTGTGTGTGTGCGCGTGCGTGCATGTGTGTGCGTGTATGTGTGAGTGTGTGTGAGTGTGATCCTGACAACAAAGCTCTACTTCAATCACTTCCTGTGTTCACACGTCTTCTCCCTACTGAGACAGATCACCTTGATGCAGACCTGGGTTGGGGGGGGGGGCAGCCTGACCTGAGACCAGCACCGTACCACTGACTGTATCACAGACTCCATAGGGAGAATAATATGACATCTCTTTTGTTTTAGTACTTGTCTCATGACTTTTAAACACAATAGCAGGTGTTTCTCATCCGTCTGTTTATTTACAAACATCATTTTTCTGAATGTGAACCAAAAACCTTCTCAGTCAGACCGTTCTCTCTGCTAGTTGAATCTGTCTTTTCAGTGAGTGTTTTATTAACCTCTGACCCCATGACCCCCTCGTCTTCTCGTGTGGTGTTGTTTTGTTTTTGTAGCTCAAAGACGACGGCGCAGCAAACTTTACCTGACCGTCAGTCGGCTCCATGCAGACGTTGGACGTCCATTCTGCTGCTGTAACCCGCTGCCTCGGCAGGACCGAGCAATCTAAAGCAACTGGACCAGACAGAATCCCAGGGTGAGTTTCTTTCTTCTGCTGCCACTTTCAGGATGACCTCACCTCACCATGGGTAGGTCAATCTGTAATTTGTGTTTTTTTAATTCCAGACTCCTGTTTGAAGTTCTGAAACTATCACCTCTCCACTGTCCCTCTCTTCTGGATTCACCTGACCTCCCTTTCATCACGTTCCTGGACTACTGGACTCTTGGACACCAAGATCTCAGAACCCCTGGACCTATGGACTCTTTGAACACCTGGAACTTTGGACATTCTGAACCTTGAACACTTGGACATTGGACACCCTGGACATCTCTCCTCTTCCCTAGACCAGCTATGAGGTTTTGAAATCTTCATGCGTCTTCCATCCCCTTTCAGATCAATTCAAATAAATCCACATCCTGCTGGGCTGAGGGAGAGACATTCCAGCAAAACCTTTAAATAAACTTTTAAAATGTTTTATCTTTCCTGAGATTTCTGTTTTCTACACTTCAGTTCATAGTCAAACCTGAAAACTTGGCAATGAACTTGTTTTGAGTTTAAGTGTTGGAACTTTTCTCATTATAGTTTTACTTTGTCTAAATCTGAACCATGAGGTTCGCTTTTTTCTATTGTCAGTTTACAACAGCTACAACTGAACCAAGGTGAGGAACAGATTAAAACACAAGAAAAAAATAAACAATCTCTATAATTAGACAGACAAAAGTTACCATCAGACAATTATAAATCTTACATAGAAAGAAACACTTTTCAAAATGGCTGAAATGTACAGTAACAGAGAACATTTAATGTCTAAAGCAGAAAAATATGGGCGTCACATCTTTGATGTTCCTCCCCTCACATTTACCCTTTGACGACCCTGTTGGTGGCGTTTTTCCTACCTTCCTAGGTGATAACCTGCATGCAGATTATAAGGCTGGAGGCAACAGTGAAAAAACAAGTGTGCATTTTTATTTACAAAAAGTGCTGCAAACAAAATAAGAAGCAAAACACAAATACATCTATAATTAAAATGTCTCCTTTTAACTTTAGTTGGAAGTGTGAAGATAAAACCCAAAGAACTATGAAGATGCTCTTTGTTTCCTTTTGCTCTGCATTCAGAACAATCATGCCAGATATTTTATGTGACAAACTGCTAGTCCTCCTTCAACCCCGTGTGCGAATATTCTCTTTATTTGACCCAGGAGCAGCGGGCTGCCAGCTGTGACACCTGTGTGGAAACTAGTGCTGATGAACTACAGAAAAGTGCTAAAGCAAACTTTACTTTAAGGGACCAACACATTTCTTTAGAAAATAGCTCCTTATGTCCTCAGCCATCTTGTTTTTTGCCTCCATCCTCATTTAAACTACTTTTGGGAGACTCTTATTTTAATTCAGACAAGATGTGGTGTGCGGCGCTTTTATGGTGACGACCGGAAGTGTGTGGGTTGGCTGGCATTTAATAAAGAACTACATGTTAAAATATCCTATTAGCTCTAGTAGCTAAAAAAACAAGGTCTTTGTGGAAACATTTCATATTTCATGGGAACAATAGAGAATGATTTCTACTTCATCTATCAAAATAAGTTAAAATATAAAAACATGTTGTGAAAAACTTGTGTTTATTAATTCTTGATCATGGACTCAATCAACTGAATGTAAATGTATTGCTCTATGTCTCTGCATGCTCACTCATTCAGACACACACACACACACACACACACAGTTCAGTTAGGACATTTATTCTGTTGTAACTGAAACAATCACTGATCTGCATCACCACTTAAGAATGTTTCTATTGGTTGAATCTTTAGAACAAGATGAATTGATTTGACTCATTTCAGGTCACCTGAGTTTCTAAAACACCCACCAGATGAAGGGTTTGGTTTGTGCTAATTCTGTTAACGTTACACCAAGAGCCCCTGCTGTTCCTACAGTAAGCAGCATTACACTGACATCACTAAAACGGCCTCTTACACCTCAGTGCTGAGATCAGCACAGTCAAACGAGGACGTCTTTAAACGAACGTGTTCATGAAGATCGTGCTAAAACCAGACTTTCTGGATCAAGCTTGACTTGTGCTGTGAGGCACTGACCTCTTGGGAATGCTGCGTGCTTCATTAGAGAACCTCATTAGACGGCCCTGGATCTCAATGCCGACATTGAAGGCCAGTAAGAAGTCCAGACCGCTTGGTTTGCTGTTAGCCGGCATCATGTCACTGAGAGCAAACAAAGCTGGGAGAACAGCTCCTGAGGGATGAGTGGCTGGATGCCACGTGTCGTCAAAGTCCATGGAATGAGTCTGGAAGCAACCAGAGTTTGTGTCTCATCATACTGAAGCTGAAAGGAGTCAGAATAATAACTTTTTCTGTGAGGGTCATAACTAGATCAGAACCCAGCTATGAACACCTTGCCTGTGCCGTGTCTGAATGATCCACTTCTTTATGTTTTTTTTTCTGAAGTGAACACTGACATGTTTTCTGTTCCTGGTGTGTTTTCAAAAGAAAAATGACTTTCATTCCTAAATCCAGCCATCGAGGGGGAAGAAAGTAGTTTCTTTGGAAATATTTGATGGGAAACTTTAAGGCCAGCTCAGCTGATTTTATTTCTATATCCTAACCCTGTGGTCTTTGGGAGCCACGCTGCACCAACAGCTGAGAAAAGCTGTTTATAGAAAATGTTTCCACTGATGTTTATGTGGTTATTTATATATGGTTGTTTTCCACTTATGTTCCTCACCGCTACTCCATTAACGAAAGCTGCCAGTGTTGGGGAGAGTCTGATCCCTCTGCGTCCGTACACAGAGCTGATGTGATCCGGAGCATACATGTGCTAAGAACAAACACAGAAACAACCCTACATTCACTCATCTGTTCTGGACGTATTTGGGTTGGACCTGACTCAGACTTTCACTTTGCCTCACCTGGCAGAACTGAAGAGACAGCTCAAACACATCTGTCCTGCTCCCTATCAGTCCGACCCCGATGCTGTCCAGCACCACCCTTTTGCTGCGATGGAGCACAACCGGAGACAAATGCTGAGGCTTTATTTCACTGATGAACTTCCCAAAACTGGCTGTGACCGTATCTTCTGGGGCTGGGTGCTTCTGGACTGCAGGAATGAAAAGATAAAAGTTGTTTAATAAAGGTTATTAATTAAGGTTATTATTGTTATTTTTAATCAAAGTCAGCATATCTGTTTACCCTCCACTGCAGTGTGATGCAGTCTTCTGGCAGCCCGCACTGGTCTGATGGTTTTCTTTGGGACAAAACATAAATCAGAACAAAGCATTTCAGTTATTTTTCACATCTCAGGATGACTACAGGCTGATGAGTTCCTGCATTTACTTGTTCACGTCTTTAATCTAATGTTTGTGTTTGAAAGAGCCAGTGTAGAGGTGTAACAGGTGTTTCCCAGCATGAGTGTTCTCCTCAACAATTAGCAGGAGTTATTTTATAGTTCCCTGCCTTGGCTGCACAACAAACTTCTACTTTTAGATATTTTTATAACTTCTTTATTTGAAAAGGACTTAAAACCATCACTTTTAGAGTCTGAAAACTGACTAAAAGCATAAATATGTCTGTAATCGTACCTGTAGCGTGGAGAACATGACTTCAACTTTCTGTCACAATGATCTTGTTTCTTGTTTCTCTTGGATGCAGCAGCTGAGCAGTGAAGGATGCTGATGCTTTTGTGGCTGAAAATCCACCTGCCTTATATAGTCCAGGACTTACAATGACCGGAAACACCAAAGGAGCAGGAAGGGCAGGTTCCTTTTGCAATCCTGCATCACATCAGAATGAGGCTTTTCCACCTGGGTCATTATCTGTGGTGTAACGTTCACCATCATCAATAGCCTTGAGGGGGAGGAAGGAGAAAGAAGGAGGAAAAAACACTTTTGTGTAAAGTGAAAGGCAGTGATGCCACCTGTAAGTATGCTGCTGTGTGACAGAGTGGGGAATTCTCAGTAACTCCTCCTTTACACAAACAGATCCTATTTAAGGCAAACCTTCGTCCCTCCTTCAGCACAACTCAGCTTTCCATCAGTCTGAACAACTTCAACAGGTAAAACTTTGTTCTTTTATTTTATTGCTGACAGGAGTAAATATTCTGTTTCTGCATGTCACCCATCAACAATCCTTAAACATATAGCTAGATTATTATATACTCTGCTTTGTAGATTGAATCAGACCTAAATCTGCATAAAGGATGCTCCCTGACGAGAGTTTATTTATAAATATTGAAACTATTATTGCAATATCCTGTAGTTTTTCAAAATTATGAAAATAATAGAAATGTAAGGGTTATTATTCTATTGATAAAATTGTTTTCATTTAGAATAAATTCTTCCTCTTCAGAGAGCCTGTTAGAGGAGCGTCGTAATAAATGACTTTTGCATTAGTTACATGACAAGAGTGGCTCAGCCTACTTATGACAGGCAAGGACTGTTTTATATTATATTATATTATATTATATTATATTATATTATATTATATTATATTATGCTCAATCTTTCATTGGTTCCTTTTAAAATTCATATATTAACGTTGTTGTTGATGATTACCATTTTAGACTTTTATCATATGTTTGGATTGTCTACAGAAACACCATGGCAGCAGACGGGTTTCCTGCCAGTTTCTACGGAGAACCAGGAGTATTAGGAATGCTAACACTCCAGGCAGCCTATGGATTCACAGCTGGAAGCGTTGCTTTACTGGTCAATAATGCCTTCCTCATGCTGATTGGTAAGGTCTAGTATCTGCTTTCAGAGCTGGAATTCACAGTTTTTATTCATTCATAATTTTGTACTTTTGTTTCTTCTATTAGCTGCTTATAGGAACGTGGTTCTGTTGTTTCTAACAACAATCATGGAGGTTGTTCTTGTCTGCTTCCTTCTCTCCACCCTGCACAGACTTCCATACCAACTTGAAAGTGAGTTAAAACCGCCTGTTATAAACTTTATGCATTTACGATACTGACTCTCATCAGAACAAATAAAGTCTAACATCCAGAAATGATGTATTGCAGTTGCCATGCTTGCATTGGTATCCATCATTTGCTTTTATGGCACCTTGGCTTCACTGATGAACTGCATCTTCTCACAAAGAGTGATCCCAATGGGTCCTCCCATAATAAAGGTAATGACTGAAGTTTAGATTGACCTACCTTTAAGAATCAGCGTGATAATTAACAAAAATGTGTGTGTGTGTGTGTGTGTGTGTGTGTGTTTTGTTTTAGGAAAAAGTGAAACAGGAAGCTTGTGACGAGCCGTCCTGTCCGGTGGCTAGCTCGGGTCTCACCGGCGGTCTGTTGAAGATAGCTCGACTTCTCGAGGACGGGTGTGTGTGTGGTATTCCCACAGATACTGTGTACGCTCTGGCTGCTTCCTGCAAGAATCCTCAGGCGATAGAAAAAATCTACAACATTAAAGTGAGAAGATAGAGGAGGCTTGTTTAACAGCAATATACATTTTCATAAAGTCACCATCTTGTTGAATTGGACCTTTTGCAGGACAGACCTGCAGAGAAGCCTATATGCATTTGCATCTCCAGTGCGGAACAGCTGGTTGCAGCCAGGCCTCCTTTCAGCCCTCTGCTGTGGGAGTTCATGAGGAATGTGTATCCTGGAGGCATCAGCTGCATTGTCAGCAAAGGAGACTGGCTTTTCAGACTAGGTCAGCAGTGTAGAGTGTTTGAATGTTGAGTGGCAGAATTCTGTATCAGTTTTCAGTTTTTACGTGAACTTTAACCTCATTTCTGTAGGAGTTGGACCTGCTTATGACCGTGTTGGTACCAGAGACAGCATCATGATCCGTGTCCCAGACCACACCGTGACCTGCCACCTATGTGACATCACTGGACCCCTGGCCATAACATCAGCCAATCCCAGTGGAGAATCAGACAGCACCCACCACAGCATGGTCATTAAGTAAGAGTCTCCTCAAAGAAGTTTAATGCAAACTAACAAACAACGCATCTCTCAGACTTTTAGCACCATACACTAATTACTGTTTCAAACTGCTTCTTTTGCTGCAGTCGACTGGGACACAAGATCCAAGGAGTACTTTGTGATGGTGACTCGAATGAAGTAGTTGCTTCAACTGTGGTCAACTGTCTGAGGATTGATGAAGGTAAGGGGCCATGATTTCTTCCTACTGGGGCTGTTTAAGGTCAAGTTTCTAACTGAAGCTCTTCTAACCTTCGTTCAGGAGTCATCACCATTGTGAGAGAAGGCTGTGTCCCTGCTATCAAAGTCCAACAGATCTTTGACAGACTGAAGAACTCCATGATTTGAGTGTCTCTTAGCAAAGACTGTCTACCTGGCTGATCACGTTCAAGTCAACTTGTCTAACCCAAGCTGTGCTTTGCTTTTCATACTGACAAACAGCAAAAGAGGGAACAATAAAACTAAAGATGTGTGTTTATATGGATGTAACTTTTATGACTTAGTGGATGCATAGATAGATAGCTAATTCAAAAGTCATCTTAAACTGCATGAACTCCATAATGTTTTGAACTATTTATATATTTATTGTTATATTTATTTTCAAAATATATCAACACAAACAATTTAAATCTGTAAATAAATAGTTATGCTTTTTAATTTATAATGTTTGAACTCATTGTAAAACAGAATGTCTTTGTGTGATTTCTGCGTTGAAGCTCTCTCGTGCATTAATTAATTTGTGCAATAAAAATAACTAAAGTTTATTAAGGCTTGCATCTTTAAATAATTACTAAATGTTTTCTAGATGAGTGCATTCTCTCCCTCAATACATCTTTATTCAGATCTTCAGATAAAACAGTAACAACAATGGTGTTTAAAAGATTGACATAAATAGATATATTTTTGAACAATTACTAATTAAGCACTTGAAAGCATCTAGTTATTTGTCAGAGGTCATTAGCAGCTCAAGAACTCTGAAACAATTCAACCATCTAATTTTATTATGAGCTCTTTAAAGATGGGGATCCCTCGTTTAATCAATACATTTGCAGTGGTCTCTAGTAGTAATGAAGGCCTTGTAAGTCATACTCTGGGGAAAAGAGAGCTCTGGTGCACCAGTTTCAGGAAGTAGAAATGAGCCACATCAGAGTTGAGGATTTGCCTGAAGTAGCTAATGCTAACGATTAGCTTATACTGTTGGAGACATTGTCTGCTGTTTCCTGGACCCTAAACCAACAACTGTCATGTTCTGTGTCCCTTTGTTCCCCAGCCCTCCAGTTCCCACTCCAGGTTCTCCTTTTGTGTTTCATGGCGCCCTCATGTGTCCTTTGTCTGCGTCTTTCCCCATGTGTCTCCTAATGTTTCTCCATCCCTCTCTGGATTCCCTTTTGTGTTCTCTTAGCGCCCTCATGTGTCCTTTGTCTGCATCTCTGTTGTGTGTCTTAAGTTATAGCCACAGCCTCTTGTTCCCCAGTTCATAGTTTGTGTGTCTCAGTATGTGTATGTGTTTGTGTGAGTTCTTCCCTTAGTCTTTAGGTTTAGTTTTGTGTTTTACATAGTGTTAGGTTTATCTGCCCTCCACTGGTTCTCTTCCCCATCCAGATAATTGTTGTCACCTGCCTTCCCTCCAGCCTCACTCCACACACCTGCTTCCTGTTTCCCTAATTGCTCCTCCCTGTCTATATAAGCCCTCCTTGTCTCTGTGTTCTTGTCGGTCCATTAATGTTTGCTTGTTGTTCTTGTCAGCCTCGTCTCGTTCCTGTTCCTAGCTTCTAGTGATTCCAGTGTTTTCCAGTGTTTCTAGTTCTCTGAAGTTTTTGATTACTCAGTTTAGATTTTTGGATTTTTTGGTTTGGGCTCCCTGCTTCTTGGACTACTCCTAATAAAGGATTTTATTTTCATCATCCACCTCCTGCCTCGTTCATCTGGTTTTCTGCATTTTTGGGTCCTAAAACATCCTACCACATCAAATCCTGACAGAATGGACCGACCACCAACACAGGACCCAGCGGGAACTCCAGGTACACAGGAGATCTATTACGATGGTGATCCAGACCTTTGTGTGGAGTTCATTCGGAACTGTGCCCGTTGTTTGGACTTGAAATCCTCAGAGTTCGACAAGGTGTCGTATATGGTGCTTTGGTTGAGGGGTAAGGCCTTGCAGTGGGTTGCTGACCACTTTGACATAGAGGATCTTAGGGCGGTGTCGTTTTGGGACTTTGCTGCATTGCTCCTCCGCACTTTTGGCCGAGATCCTCCTCCACTAGTCGCTCATGCCACCTCAGCATCTCAGATGGGTTACACCGCCACACCCTCACCAGGTCCTGACAGCGCCACCACTTACTCTCCGGTGGGCTGTCATTCCTCCTCAATTCCTGCCAGTGTCCTCTCCATACCTCAGCTGAGCCAAGAAAAACCACGCCGACGACGCCGCAACCCTCCTGCTCCGACGGTGGTCCCGGTGGATGCATCGCCTCTTGCTCCAGCGGTGGTCCCGGTGGACGCATCGCCTCTTGCTCCAGCGGTGGTCCCGGTGGACGCATCGCCTCTTGCTCCGGCGGTGGTCCCGGTGGACGCATCGCCTCCTGCTCCGGCGGTGGTCCCGGTGGACGCATCGCCTCCTGCTCCGGCGGTGGTCCCGGTGGACGCATCGCCTCCTGCTCCGGCGGTGGTCCCGAGGGTCGCATCGCCTCCTGCTCCGGCGGTGGTCCCGAGGGTCGCATCGCGTCCTGCTCCGGCGGTGGTCCCGAGGGTCGCATCGCGTCCTGCTCCAGCGGTGGTCCCGAGGGTCGCATCGCGTCCTGCTCCAGCGGTGGTCCCGAGGGTCGCATCGCGTCCTGCTTTGACTGATGAGGTCCAAGAGGTCCCGGTCCCGGCCCAGCCTGTCCAAGAGGCTCCGGTCCAGCCCATCCATCTGGACCCGAAGTCGATGGTGGTCAACGGCTCTTCCTGTTCCGAAGTCGACGCCCCTTCCTGTTCCGAAGTCGTCGCATCTGATGACGACATGTCCAAAGTCGTCGCATCTGATGACGACATGTCCAAAGTCGTCGCATCTGCTGACGACATGTCCAAAGTCGTCGCCTCTGATGACGACATGTCCAAAGTCGTCGCCTCTGATGACGACATGTCCAAAGTCGTCGCC